GTAAACAGATATGGGGATTCAGAGGAAAATGCTAACTGCAATACTTCCTGCTCAAATGACTTCCAGAGATTTGCACACACATAAAAATAGTTTTAAATCTTACAAGGCTACCTAAAATCTTAGCAAACAAATATGCCCATTTGAAGGAGACCACAGAAAAGTATATATTTGAAATGAGAGTCTCTGGAAGCTGTTTAAACTGTAAGTATTGCTGTTAACATTTTCATCTTCAATATTCCATGTGTGCCCCTGATTTTCCTCTTTTGTGTGTATTTTTGGAATCCAGTAGAAGTAGTTCTCTGTAGCATATACTTTTTGGTTAGATCTGCAATTCATTTATTCACCATTATTATTGGAGATTTGTTGTGTTTGTAAAGGTATTTTACTTTTACCTGTTTAATTTCACTAATATGTATGAGTTCTCATGGCAACTATCCTGAGTTTATCTAAACTGTCGACACCTTCTTTCTCCTTCAAATGTTATTTACGTTATTCTTTTATACATATTGGTCTAGTACATTTTTGGCCTGCAAATCTAGAATGACTGATTGTATAGTCATAAGCTACCTGACTGAAAATGTACATAAATACTTTGATTACAACAACTAAATAAAGAAATCTAGACTTGTTTAAACAACATTCCTGGATACTAATCCATGGCAGCATCAGGATAGGGTTAACTCCTCCCCTTTGGCTGTTTAGGATACCTGGTATCATCAGTCTTTTTTCCTGTCCTCTTGGCTGTGGACATGATTCAGGTAATTTACCTTACCTTTATTTTATTTTAAGTTTACCTCTTTAATCCCCAGGAGAGTTCAGCCGCTCTCTCCTGGAAGAAATGGAAATGTTAAATGTTATTAAACAAGAAAATATACAAGGCAGATATCCTTAATATTAGAAGAATTCTGCAGTAATTATCTAATAGCGTAATATAATGGGTATTATGTGATGGAAATTGTACCGAAGTGATCCTACGGGTAGCGGTTTTTGTTAAGTGATCTCACGGATAAGAGATTTAACCGCAGTGATCTTAATGGTAGCGGTGCATGGGGTATACACTTTATACCAATAAGTCCGCAATGATCCTAATTGTAGCGGTCATTATGTGTGACTCATGCTTTTCCTTTCATGGATTTATAGCCGCCGTGATCCTTATGGTAGCGGTGCATGTAGTAAACACACATTGAATATTTATATATATATATATATACATATATATATATATATGTGTGTAATCCGCAGTGATCCTAATGGTAGCGGTATAATGGATAAACACTTCTGCAAAATATTTATATCCTTTTCGGATATAAGTTACCTGCATTCTTTATCAGTTTTTTGCTTATTTTTGTCTTATGCCTTTTATTCCCATTTAGCACATGTTATGTGCAGATTTGGTATCACTTTGTATACAGTCTGTGACGAGACCAATCTCGCCACATTGCATTGGAGAAGCCTGGTTGCTCGCCTGCTGCCTTTGGACTATGGCCCCCTTTTTAAAGACTTTATTTTTGCATGCAGAAAAGCTGTATTCGTGCTTTTCTGCCGGTTGTTCGGTAGTTTCAATCTACCGAACAACCGTACGAATAACTGGACCACCTGGGAGCTGGAGTGTGCCGGCAATTAACCTCCCTGAAGCTGCGGTTAACCGCAGCTTAATTGATGAACGCTGGGTGGCCGCCGTTCGTATCCCGAACACGAGGTCGCGGCCATTTTAAACCATATGAATGAACAGCGGTGTTCGCATCTATTTTCATGGAACTAAAATCGGACACAGTTTTGCGCGAACACCGCTGAAGCCGCCGACCTCCCTTCTTGTTCGGTGAAAGCACACGAATGACCCGGTGTTCGGTATTTTTGTGTGAATGTCTTATACCCCAGATAGGAATCCCATGGAGCCCATTCGTATGAAAATGACTGTAAAGACTTTGGCTCCATGGCGATTGAACTGTATTCGTGTAGTCTGAGTGCCATTCACCTAATAATGTGCACTCAGACCTGAGCTATCTGGGGATGTGTTACATGCCTGTGTTTAATGTAGTACATGTTACTTTGTGCATTTTAAAGTATAATGCTGTTTTGTGTTCCCACGTGTGTAATGGAGTTTTGCCTTTGTCTTGGGAGATAATTGAATTACTTCTCAATTATCTCCCAGGGCAGAGGGGAGGAAGCCAGGATGCATTGTTTGAATATACTGTGACTGTGTGTCCTTTTTGTATACTTGTCTGTCCCTTGTCACAGTCTCCCATTTGGTCCCCTAGGGGAGTGTCCACCAGGTGGGAGACCTGCATAAAAGCTGGGCAGGTAGCCCTCATTAAACAGACCACTGCTTGACCCTCAACACGGAGCCTTGTCTCGTTCTTGGGGGGATTCACAGTATGCTGCTAAGGACTGATTGCCAGGAGTGTAAGCCGCTTGGAAGCTTTTCCTGTTCGTCTGGTAGCAGCAATTCGTATGGTTCCTGTTCGTGTATTTGGAGTGCTACCTTATTCCCTTGTATGCCGTTCGGGAGTTTGGAGCATTCACTTGTATGCAGTTCGAGAGTTTGGAGCATTCACTTGTATGCAGTTCGAGTGTTTGGACCATTCCCTTGTATGCAGTTCGAGTGTTTGGAGCATTCCCTTGTATGCCGTTCGGGAGTTTGGAGCATTCCCTTGTATTCAGTTCGTGAGTTTTGGTGATTCTACAGTAGCTGTGCCTGTCTCTGAAAGGGGATTATCGTCTAAGCGTTTTTTTTCCCTTTTGTGCAAAACGGTCCGTTACAATTGGTGGCAAGCGGCGGGATCGTTCCTACAGACTACAGGACAGCTACAGGCGACACCATTTCTTTGGATTTTACAATTTGAGGGCAACGCATGTCTGAGTACAGCGACCCTGACAGCAACAGCATGGAACCAGCAGTGTCATACGAGGAGGAGGACCTGGATGGCCGTGATGCATTAAGGAAAGGCATCTGGTACCAGGCCCTGGATAATGTACAGTACCAGCGGGGTGAGAGTCTCCCCAGTGAAGAGCAGCGGTTGCAGAAGCAAGTGGCCCTGCGGATGCCCTTCCTGGGAGAGCAGCCCCTAGATGAATGGGTGAAGGAATTGGAGCACGGGTATGGCAGGAGATTTGGCTGGAAGATGCATACCAGGCGCTTTGGTGGTATGGGGCACAGTACCTGCCCTGGACAGCCGAGCATGACAAGCCAGAGGGAGAGGAGTTTGATGGTCCTAGCTTGTTATGGGAGGCTTTTTCAGAGCCTGAATTTGGGAGCCCTACACAAGCCCGGTTCAGTGATCTCTTGGAGTGGAGGGAGAGCAGGTATGACTGGGGCGACACTCACGACATTGAGCAAGACCTGGCTCACCTAGCAACCCTGGAGTGGGAACTGGAGCAGGACTACCGAGATCTCTTCCACTCCATTGAGAAGATTCAGCAGGACAGCAAGGTGACAGAGCCAGAACCAGACCCATTCAGCTGGGAAGACATCGTGGATATTTTCTGGGAAGAACCCCAGGTGGCCGGTAGAGATGGGACCGAGGTCTCTCCACCGGTCCTGCAGGGAATTGGGAGCCCAGTCTCCATTCCCCAGCGGCCGTGTGATTTATTGGGAATTGGGAGCCCAGTCTCCATTCCCCAGCGGGAGATATTGCAGGGAATTGGGAGCCTGAGCTCCATTCCCCAGCGGCAGGCTGAGTTACAGGGGACAGAGATAGTCGCTCCTGTCCCCCAGCAGCAGAATGAATTGCAGGGAATTGGGAGCCCGAGCTCCATTCCCCAGCGGGAGATATTGCAGGGAATTGGGAGCCTGAGCTCCATTCCCCAGCGGCAGGCTGAGTTACAGGGGGCAGAGGTAGTTGTTCCTGCCCCCCAGCAGCAGAGTGATATGCCGGGAAGGCAGTGTAAAGTGCAGGGAGAGGAGAACAGCGTCCTCCCTCCCCAGCGGCAGGCTGAGATACAGGGGGCAGAGGTAGTTGTTCCTGCCCCCCAGCAGCCAAGTGATATGCCGGGGAGGCAGTGGGAAGTCCAGGGAGAGGAGAGCAGTGTCCTCCCTCCCCAGCGGCAGCGTGATTTTTTGGGAATTGGGAGCCCAGTCTCCATTCCCCAGCGGCAGTATGATGCTTTGGGAATTGGGAGCCCAGTCTCCATTCCCCAGCGGCAGTATGATGCTTTGGGAATTGGGAGCCCAGTCTCCATTCCCCAGCGGCAGAGTGTCCTACCGGGAATAGAGAGCCCAGTCTCCTTTTCCCAGCAGCAGGACTCTGTATTGGGAGCAGAGACAGTCGGTCTCCCTCCCCCGCAGCTGGAAGTATGTATGGGAGAGGAGCTGGTTACCCCCTCTCCCCAGCGGCAGCTTAATGTACAAAGGGGAGACAGTAAGCCCCACAACGGTGCAGATGGGACCGTAGTCTCTACACTGCCAGCACAGGGGGTAGGGACGGTCGGTCCTGCCCCCCAGCGACAGGGCTGTTTAGCCAAAGGGGAGACAGTCGGTCTCCCCCTCCAGCAGCAGAGATGGGTAACCAAAGGGGAGACGGTCGGTCTCCAGCAGCAGGACTGTGCATCTAAAGGGGAGACAGTCAGTCTCCAGCAGCAGCAGCAGAGCGGTGTATTTAAAGGGGAGACAGTCGGTCTCCCCCTCCAACAACCAGGCTTCCACCAGGCTACCCTCCCAGTAGCGCTGGCAACAGGGCAGAGTGCCGCTGGTCTCTGCCCACGCAGCAACCCACCAAGTCAGCGTACCCGTACCCAGCACAGCCGTGGTGAGGCACCTGGACATGGACAAGCTTTTTCTCTACCCAGGTGTAGTAACCATTTATTGTGGGTGGGCTGTGCTGTGGATTATTTGTTGTAGGTGGGCTGCTGGACTAACAAGGGCACTGACCGGCAGGAGGTCAGATACCCTGTTAGTCTGTTTGGAAAAGGGGAGAGATGTGACGAGACCAATCTCGCCACATTGCATTGGAGAAGCCTGGTTGCTCGCCTGCTGCCTTTGGACTATGGCCCCTTTTTAAAGACTTTATTTTTGCATGCAGAAAAGCTGTATTCGTGCTTTTCTGCCGGTTGTTCGGTAGTTTCAATCTACCGAACAACCGTACGAATGACTGGACCACCTGGGAGCTGGAGTGTGCCGGCGATTAACCTCCCTGAAGCTGCGGTTAACCGCAGCTTAATTGATGAACGCTGGGTGGCCGCCATTCGTATCCCGAACACGAGGTCGCGGCCATTTTAAACCATACGAATGAACAGCGGTGTTCGCCTCTATTTTTATGGAACTAAAATCGGACACAGTTTTGCGCGGACACCGCTGAAGCCGCCGACCTCCCTTCTCGTTCGGTGAAAGCACACGAATGACCCGGTGTTCGGTATTTTTGTGTGAGTGTCTTATACCCCAGATAGGAATCCCATGGAGCCCATTCGTATGAAACTGACTGTAAAGACTTTGGCTCCATGGCGATTGAATTGTATTCGTGTAGTCTGAGTGCCATTCACCTAATAATGTGCACTCAGACCTGAGCTATCTGGGGATGTGTTACATGCCTGTGTTTAATGTAGTACATGTTACTTTGTGCATTTTAAAGTATAATGCTGTTTTGTGTTCCCACTTGTGTAATGGAGTTTTGCCTTTGTCTTGGGAGATAATTGAATTACTTCTCAATTATCTCCCAGGGCAGAGGGGAGGAAGCCAGGATGCATTGTGGGAATATACTGTGACTGTGTGTCCTTTTTGTATACTTGTCTGTCCCTTGTCACAGTCTCCCATTTGGTCCCCTAGGGGAGTGTCCACCAGGTGGGAGACCTGCATAAAAGCTGGGCAGGTAGCCCTCATTAAACAGACCACTGCTTGACCCTCAACACGGAGCCTTGTCTCGTCTTTGGGGGATTTACTGTATGCTGCTAAGGACTGATTGCCAGGAGTGTAAGCCGCTTGGAAGCTTTTCCTGTTCGCCTGCTAGCAGCTATTCGTATGGTTCCTGTTCGTTTATTTGAAGTGCTACCTTATTCCCTTGTATGCCGTTCGGGAGTTTGGAGCATTCACTTGTATGCAGTTCGAGTGTTTGGACCATTCCCTTGTATGCAGTTCAAGTGTTTGGAGCATTCCCTTGTATGCCGTTCGGGAGTTTGGAGCATTCACTTGTATTCAGTTCATGAGTTTTGGTGATTCTACAGTAGCTGTGCCTGTCTCTGAAAGGGGGATTATCGTCTAAGCGGTTTTTTCCCCTTTTGTGCAAAACGGTCCGTTACACAGTCCGTTCACAATCTTTGCACATTTATTCAGGACTGCACTTAGGTCACTTTGCACATATGGTGTATAATCTCTTCTGTTCTACATAGGGCTATTTGGATGTTTTCCTTGTTCCTCCTAATGTTATACTCGGCATATGTAGTGTATGGGACTTTGGTCGACTTTCAGCCGCATGTATTCACTTTGTTGAGTTAGGTTGCTCGGCAACCCTGTCACTTACGCCATACGCATGACTGCACGTGAGTCTCTCACTTCCGGGTTGTTCAGTCCGGCGGCTGGTTCATCACTCTATTGGTAAGCTTATTTTTCATTTATGTATATATTGGCATCTACTTTTTGTGTCACTGTGATCTTGATAAAGACCCCAGGAGGGTCGAAACGTTGATTTGTGTGTACCTCACAGCTGATGTATTTTTTATGATACATTAAATAATTTTGTTCCACTAACTTCAAGACCCAGTGTGCTCCCTGGACTGCTTTTTCTGATATACATAACGCGGGATTGCACCTGGGCATTTATATAATTCTTGCATGAAGGAGGAGTGCCTTGCCTTATTTATTTATTTTTTGTATATATATATATATATGTGTGTGTGTAATCTGCAGTGATCCTAATGGTAGCGGTATAATGGATAAACACTTCTGCAAAATATTTATATCCTTTTCGGATATAAGTTACCTGCATTCTTTATCAGTTTTTTGCTGGTAATGGATTTATAATGGGAGACCTTCTTATGGGCTTTTTTGCCTGTGTTCTTAGTGTTCATTTGTTTGGAAGCTGCGTTTGGCAGTTTCCCGCCATATCGCCACCTTGGTCTGTGTTTTCCTTATAGGCTCTGATAGCATTCGTTTGTTTCTGCGTTCGTATGAAAATTTCATTTGGATGAATTTTCCTGTCTTCATATGCTTAGTATCAGTTTGGCAAATGAAAGGTATGTTCGTTTTTTTGTGAATTAACGGTTTTGCATTCCCTTATTTTTTCGGCTGATTGGGCATGCACATTGAAGGTAGTTCAGGGTAATGCTCATTTGGTTGTTGCTATTTAAAGAGACAAGGTATTCCTTTTCTCTCTCCTTGGGTTTAAGCTGAAATTTCTTAAGAATACTTTCTTTGGTGTTTATTCTGGTTAGTGCAGGTAAGAAGCATTATTTTACCTTTAAAATTTAGGTTTACTCTTTTAGTATGTATTCTTCATTTATCATTCTTTAATTTTTGTGTATTCCTTCATATAGCTGCCCTAATGTCAGCATCTAGGTCTTCAAGAGGGTCTCCTTCTAGGCACTCAAGGTAAACTTTTTTTCCTTTTTATTTATTGGATTAAAAGAGCGCAAAGAAATTGTATCTTCAATCCTCCTCTTTCCATATGGTTTTAGTGTCCATGAGTTTGACACATCGGGAAGATCTGTTGGAGGAAAGAAGTTTCACAAGTCTGCCCGTTGTATTGCATGTGATGCTAAGGCTTTGGAAGGAAATAAGCTACATGGTACTTGCTTGTCCAAAGCAGCTGGTTCTCCTAAGGATCCATCTCCAGAGATTATGAAGTGGATACAGATGGCAGTAGATAAGTCCATGAAAAAAGCAGAGAGCTATTAAGAGGCCAAGAACAACTTATCATAGAGATAGAGAAGATTCAGACTCAGATGCCTCATTTGTGGAAGCTCAGTCGGAGGAGGGTGAAGAGATGTATTCCTCAGAAGATTTGGACTTAGTGGAAGAATGCTCAAGGAATTGAGAAAACCCCAGAAAAGGGTCTCTGCTCAAGGGAAGATATCCTCTATATATACCTTTTCTGAAGAAGACACTGCTGATTGGGATAATGCACCCAAGGTAGATGTGGCCATTTTTAGACTGGGGAGAAACACAGCCCTACCACTGGATGAAGTAGCCTCCTTCAAGGATGCTATGGATAGAAAGATTGACATCAATCTTTGTAAGAATTATGTTTCTGCTGGAGTGGCCTGTAGACCTGCAGTAGCTATGACTTCTGTTTCTAAGGCACTTATGAAATGGCTTTGTCTTCTAGAAAAGGATTTTGAGAAGGGTGTAAGTAGGCCATCTCTATTACAATCTCTATCAGAAATTAAATGGGCAACTGAGTTTATCTCATACGCATCTCTGGATATAATTAAGAACCTAGCCAGGAATTTGGCATTATCAGTTTCTGCACGTAGAGCCCTATGGTTAAAATCATGGAATGCAGACTTATTTGCGAAAAAGAATTTATGTGCCATTCCATATCTTGGGCAATTATTGTTTGGCAAGCAGTTGGAGGAGGCCATCAAAAGAGCTGCCGAAGGCAAGAAGGTCTTTCTTCCCCAATTTCACAGAGGTAGAAGGTTTTCCCAGAACTGGCAGGACAGAAGATCCTTTCGGGACAGACAGTCCTTTTGAGAATCAAGGTCCTATAAGCCAGGGAGAGAATTCACAAGAGGTTCAACCTGGAGGAGTGGCAAGTCTGGAAGAATTGCCAGAGGTAGATCCTGAAACGGTTCTAGAGCCTCAAAAAGACCTTCCTGAAGGTTGGAGACCCCAGGTCTCGGGAGTAGGAGTTAGTCTCCATGCCTTTTGGGAAACCTGCGCTCAAGCAGATTTGGATCCCTGGGTGGTTTCTGTCCTCAAAGAAGGATACAGACTAGAGTTCAAGGTATTTCCCTGTCAAAACAGATTCATGATCTCAAAAACTCCAGGGTTGCCCAAGAAAAGACAAGCCTTGATAAGAGATTTCCAATCTTCTGCAAGAGGGAGTAATTACAAGAGTTCCTCAAGGAGAAATTGGTTTAGGGGTTTACTCGAATCTGTTCCTGGTTCCAAAACCATCTGGAGATTGGAGTCTGATTTTAGACCTACACAAGTTGAATCTTTCCCTCAACATCCAAAGGTTCAGAATGGAGTCCTTGTCTTCCATATTAGCAGTAATTCAGCCAAAAGATTGGATGATCTCAATAGACCAGAAGGACGCCTATTTCCACATTCCAATAGCAGATCATCGAAAGTATTTGAGGTTCGCAATTTTGGGAGAACATTTCCAGTTCAGGGCAGTTTCTTTTGGACTAAGTACCGCTCGAAGAACATTTTCAAAGGTCCTTCTGACTCTGATAGCTATGATGAGACTTCGGTGCCTTCAGATATATCATTACCTGGATGATATTTTATTGGTAGAGAGATCAAGGGAAAGACTTCTGACTCAAAGAAACCAGGCTATAAGAACTTTGGAAAGGTTTGGTTGGGTCATCAATTACCAGAAGAGTCATCTGGACCCCTCCCAGAGTTTATGCTTCCTGGGAGCATGGTTCGACATCATGGTTTTCCTTTCAAAAGAAAGATGAGTTCGGGTCATGTCAAAGACACAAATGGACTCAGAATGGGTCACGGTCGAAGAGTAAATGAGCATGTTGGGAAACCTTTCGTCAACAATCGGTCTAGTAAAATGGGCTCAGTGGCACCTGCGTTATCCTCAGAGGTATTTCTTGGAAAGATTCAATCAAGACAGAGAGGTTTTCCAAGAAGATAGTAATTTCTGCATGCCTCCTGAAGGCTTTGGACTGGTGGAGAGATCCTGTTCACCTCTGCAAGGGGTTTCCTCTTGGAGAAATAGATTGGCTGAACATAACTACAGATGCCAGTGGTACAGGTTGGGGCGCTCATCTCCTTCAATGGAATGCCCAGAGCAGATGGGTGAAAAGAGCCTCCCACGTTCCAGCCAACCTTCTGGAATGAAGAGCAGCCTTCTTAGCCCTGACACATTTTCAGGATGTACTAATAGGAAGATGGGTGAGAACTTGGCCAATTATGTGTCCTACATAAAAAAGCAAGGCGGTACCAGGAGCAAGAATCTTCTTCTGGAACTGGAACCCATTATGTTGTGGGCTCAAGAGAAGATATTGGGTCTGTCGGCTGTATATATTCCAGGGACAGAAAATTCGATAGCAGACTTCCTCAGCAGAAATTATCTGGATCCCAAGGAATGGCAATTAATTCCAAAGATATTCCGTCAACTGGTCTTAAAGTGGGGATGACCAGAAGTAGATCTAATGGCTT